ACGCTTTAAAAAATTGTTTTATGTTCATGTTGTTGCAGAGTGAGGCTCCATTCGCCATACACACACACCCACATATATATACACATACAAATACGCACACACACGTGCATGCACATACAGGCACACACACACATATACAGACGCACACACATATACTGGTACACACACACACACACACACACACATACATACATACATATACAGACAGGGAACATTGAAAATGAAATTCTGAAATTAGCTAAATTTTGCATAAAGTTTGGTACGTGTTCGTCCCTGTTGTTAAGCGTTGGAGTGCTCGTTGGCGGTTGTGCTGGCATTCATTGCCGTACGGGTGTGTTGGCTTTATGCTTGTCTCTGTGGTGGGAGGTTTGCAGGGGGATGCTGAAGGGGTTTTCTGTTGTGCCTTTTTTTCATGCGTTTTGTGATGTGTAACAGCATTACAAAGCGCATATTGTCACGGGGTTGTCTGTGTGTGTGTCCCACATTTTGATCCGCATTTTTAACTCGGGAACCACAAAAGCTAGGCGGCTGAAATTTTGGCATAGTGTTCCCCGCCGACGAGTGACGCGGCAAATTTAAATTCAGCCTTCCCGTTCTCGCGGGTCACACGTACAGCTCCGCGAAAGTTTTTTACAGATTAATTAATATCTCGGGAACTACGGAGTCTAGGAGGCTGAAATTTTAGGGTAATAAACCCCTGCCCACGCTCAACCTTGCCTAAAATTCAGCGTTCCTTCGCTGTCAAGTATCACCTATGGCCTCGTGAGAATTTTGAGAGTTAAACTATTAACTCGGGAATCACGGAAAGATATTCACCCTTCAAGGTTTCTAATCAGCTTTCATGCGCTGGTGCGTGAAATTTTTAACTTTTTTCCGATTGTTAAACTATTTTTGCATAAACTAAAGTATACAAAGAGTGAAAATCATTAATAGGCAATCGTTCGATGGGCTGAATTGCACAAAACGCATGATCGCACCGGCATGTCTGGTGCGCGTTGCTATTTATTACATATCTTTGCTTAGATCTTCAGTTTCGCGCAGTCTGTTGCTGTAGCTCCGTTCGTTTTGTTAATTGATATTAAATGAGCAGCAGAAAGACCGCCGGTATTCCGCACCGATTCACCCAACTCAACTGGTTTCAAATCCAGCTCCTAGATACGCGTGGTCCTCACGTATGGACACGTGCAAGGTTTGTCGGGAAAATTGCTAGCTCGGCAATCGGAAAAAGCTAGAAGGCTGAAATTTTGAGGCTATATTCCCCATCCATGCACAATTTAAAGATTTCGAAATTTAAAGATTTTCCTGCCAAAACTTTCACATTCCCTTGAGAACCACACGGATTCAGCCACAGACAGTTGAGTCTGGGTGGTGCTGCAGGATGCGAGAAGCATAAGATTCTAGTTGATGGAGAAATCGCTGACTGCGTAGATGGCTGTCCACCGCTGCCCCAACTGTTCCTCGAAAGTAGCCATGCGCTGAGCGATGCATTTCAGTCCTTTGGGCCCTGGGCCACAACGATGTAATTTTCGCTCGACTGGGACTGCTTTTCGTCCGTATTCTCGCTTCTTTCTGCGCGAAAATATCGCAGCATTTCAATGCATTTTTAT